GCGCGAGCCCCGGGCGCCGGGCCACCCAGGAGCCCCTCGCCGCCGCGACATGCAGCCGGGCCGCCGGCGCCGCGCGCGGGGACACTTGATTGGCGACGCGCGGCTCGCGCCTTTGCTTCTTTGGGGCACCTTCCCCTCTCAAGAAGAGACTAAATTCGTTTAGAGGAAAAGAACCAGAAAAGCACCCCCAAACACCAAAATAAAACCCCTCGTCGAACCAAATTCTGCTTCTCCGGGACGCGGACGCACAGCTAACTCTCGTTTTGGGGGCTGCCCCGGCGGCTCCCGGGAGCCCTCTGACCTCCCCGCCCCCTCTCGCCCCCGGCGCGTCGGGACTTGTGGCTCCAGCGCCTCGGAAGGCGCGCGGGCCCGGGCCCTCCGGGAGGAATCTCGGTCGCCTCTGGACAGTGGCATTTAATGCCCGCAGCGTCGGGGGTGGCGGCGCGCGGGCCGGACGGGCCACTCGGGTGCCGGCTCCGGGTTGCAGGCCTGATCGATGCCTTTTGCTGAGTGAGCCGCCGGCTCCCCACCCACCTCGTCCGATCTCGCCTCCTCCTCTTCCTCTGGTCTCCTCCCTCCTCCACGCCCTCCTGCAAATGGCTACGTTCCCCGAGAGCGACTTCCAGATCTGCCTGCTGTGTAAGGAGATGTGCGGCTCGCCAGTGCCGCTCTCCTCCAGCTCGTCGGCGTCCTCCTCGTCCTCGCAGACGTCGACGTCGTCGGGGAACTGCGGCGGCGGCGGGGCTCCCGGCACCGCCCCGCGCCGCCTGCACGTCCTGCCCTGCCTGCACGCCTTCTGCCGCCCGTGCCTCGAGGCGCACCGGCTGCCGGCGGCGGGCGGCGGCGCGCCGGGGGAGCCACTCAAGTTGCGCTGCCCCGTCTGCGACCAGAAGGTCGTGTTGGCCGAGGCGGCGGGTATGGACGCGCTGCCCTCGTCCGCCTTCTTGCTCAGTAATCTCCTGGACGCCGTGGTGGCCACCGCCGACGAGCCACCCAAGAACAACGGGCGCGCTGGCGCAGCGGCGGGCGCGGGTGGCCACAGCAACCACCGGCACCACGCGCACCCGCGAGCGCCGGCCTCCGCGCCGCCT